GAAACAGAGACGGAGAAGTGCAGAAGACACAGAGACAGGGGGGCCAGGGAGAGACAGCGATGAGAGCAGAGACACCAGGGAGAGACCAGAAGGACCAGGGAGGGTCTGTGGTGAGAGACAACGACACTAGGAAGGGACAGAGATGAGAGATACAAGGGCCAGGGAGAGACAGTGACACCAAGGAGAGACCAGAAGGACCAGGGAGAGACAGAGATGAAAGGCAGAGAGACCAAAGAGAGCCAGAGACATCAGAGAGCAACAGAGATGAGAGACGGAAGGACCATGGGGAGACAGAGATGAGAGGCCAAAGGGATGGAGATGAGATACACTGAGATCAGAGAGACAGAGATGAGAGATCAAGGAGAGACAGCGAGACCAGAATAAGACAGAGATGAGAGACAAAAGACCAGAGAGCAACAGAGAAACCAGGCAGAGACAGAGAAGGGAGATCAAGGAGAGACCTCAGAGAAACCAGCGGAAGATGAGAGATCAGGGAGAGGCAGAGGGACCAGGAGAGATAAGAAAACAGAGACCAAGAGATAGGATGGTGAGAGAGAGAACGGAGTGAGAGGTACGGGGGAACCCATCAGTGAGACACAGATGTAGACAGAAGAGAACTAGAGACCCAAGGCCAAGGCGGGACAAACAGAGATCCGAGGTGGATGGCAGAAAGGGAGAGGGAGGCGGGCACAGACAAGAGACAGCAGAGACACAGAGGGAGATCAAGTCAGCAAACTGTCTGCTCGCAGGACCAGGGTGGGTGTCTGGGATGGGACTGGAATGACCCAGGGGTCAGAGTGGCGGGAGTGGGATTCAAAGTCTGGAGGCCCCAGGAAATAGAGAATGGGTGAAGAACAAGAGAACTCAGACTCCCAGGGAGGTGGGGCTAGGGCCAGGACTCCTGGTCTGAGGGAGGAGGAGGACTGGGGGCCAGGACTCCTGGTCTGAGGGAGGAGGGCTGGGGGTCAGGACTCCTGGTCTGAGGGAGGAGGGCTGGGGGGTCGGGACTCCTGGTCTGAGAGAGGAGGGCTGGGGTGG